TTTAGCTGTTACCAGCTTCCAATTAATCCGCATGCAATTTAAAACTATGAAGCACCAGGAACACACGATTTTTTCATTTTATGGATATTATCAGACGCTTTAATAAAAATGGAGAGTGAAATCACGGTTTAATCTAGGAATTGCAGACAATATTACTGTTAAGGAAGGCAATAATAATAAATTCTAACAGCTTGTTTAAGAAAAACAGTAAATGGTTATCGAGCTAACTAACTTTCTATTATTTTATTTCATTTCAAATTTAATGTCCAATCCTCACAAATCTGCGATAAAATTGGCTATTAAGTCAATATTTCATATTAAAATGTTAAATGTCGATTTATTTGAAGCCAAGGAAAACAGCTTTTTAATTCAAATTAACATTTCATATTACAATATTAAATGTCGAATTATTTAAGGAAAGACAAAGCGCTTGTTTTCTAAATCAAAATTAATATTTCGTTGATTTAATACGCAACGACTATTAAATGTTATTAAGAATATAAAGTGTTTTTTTCATAGTTTTCCGATTTATTTCATCCCTAATCCTTTCTTATGAAATTGGATCGTAACGAACACAGTCAAATATTATTCCCATTACTATTTAAATAATTTGTACAATATTAATATTGGAATAGACAGATAGAATAATTTACGAGGAATAATGAATAATTGTTACTCAAATAAAATATTCGATTAAAAAGTATTCGTTCGGATAATTATCTTCCATAGATATTTATTCCCCAACTAATTCCGTCGTAAATTAGTGCCTGTCGTTCATAAAAGTCAGGAAACCGGAAACACGAAAACAATTAAACTTCGTAACCCCATGTTTGAGATTAAGAAAGTGAAACATAGACTTGTGGATTTCGAAACGGAGCAAACTAAACAAATACGTAACAGTTATACAATATGCGTCTAATCGAAATTAAAATTCATCGTCTCACAACCGCTGCTGTATGCGACGATAGTGTGACAGGAAATATGTACATATTAATCGCAGCAAAACTCGCGTGCCCGGATCATCCGGTATTACCTTTCCGATTCGTGGTCGTTTCAGAACATTCGATACCTCAGTCTGATCTTTGGCACGCGATGGCTCCGGCGCTGCTAACAAGAAACAACGTTAACGATAGTAAACCGAAACACGGTAGTTCGGATCGTAATTAAACCGCGCGCGAATCATCCAGTCGATCTTCGCGCGTCCGCTCATTACGATTTTACCGCGAGAGAAACCACGAAATTGATCGCGGACTGTTTAAACGATTAAAAGATGTTTTCATTTCCGCAATGTCGAACGCGATCGCATACGAACGAGCGCGTACAGATCGTGTCGGTATACTTCTGAGGAAACCTCGAATGCCGTTTTTAACTCGGCGCAATACAATTTACGCGCCGTTTATACAGAAGAGATAAGACCGCTCGCGATATTTATCAGAGTATCACGAGAATCGTGTGTAGTTTACTTACGCTATTTACGGTTTTAACTTATGTTTCTGTTTGCGGTACTATTGATAAAACCAACTACAGGATATGTTAATTTGAAGCTGTTTTGGCAAACTTTTCATCGCAGTGAATATTTAGACAACGGTGTTTTGGATTCAGATACCGTTTAAAACGGAATAACTTTTTTAACTCTTTGCAGTCGAAGCTATTTTAATTCGAAATCTTAAAGATGTTTTCTTATTTATAATACTTCCATTTTATGCGTTTCTGTCGGAAGATTTATGCGATGCACAGGGGATCGAGAGACAAACTGCAAGACGACACCAAGCTCAGAAAAAAAACAATCGCATTTTTCATCGATATTTACACTTTCTAACAGATTCAATGCCATTTATGCATATAAAATTGAGCCCATTGGCGAATACAATACTTGCAGTTTTAACAGCTTTTTTAAATATAAACGAACTTGATACTGTTACAATTATTTTGAAAAATAGCGCAACAAGTTTTAGTAGCTCCTCAAACTCACCATTCGAGTGCAAAGGGTTAAAACTAAACTATATGATTGGAATATTTTCTTAATTTTAGGAGCACTGGTTTACTGTGTAATGACTAATATAGTTTTCTTAATGTCGCGATTACCTGTAAATGACAAAAGAAATAAAAAACTTACGTTTTTTCAACCTTTTTATCCGAGTCTATAACGAAAATTTAAAAAATGCTTAAATATCAGTAACTTATATGCATTAGGGATAGTGATTTCAGTTGATCCTAATCCTAATGGTATCAAGATTGAACGACGAAAGTTATGTGAAAGAATTATTTTCATTTTAAGATATAGTTTATCGTTCTATAACTCTTACTTAAATACTTGAATAAATCAAAGTCTGCACTTTAATTATTTTCTACATTACCTGTTGACTTGAAATGAAAATAATGTACCCAGTAATAACCCGGGAATCTCATAAGTGAGAGCTCTAATATGCATACTAAACATTTTATAGGAATAGGTTAACGCAAAGAGTCAAGAAAGACGTAAAAATCTCGAGAGTCATAGAAAACTGTGGCTTTCACTATCTTTAATTGTTTATAACACATAATTACCAATTTCGATCAAATCTTTAGTATGCATGAAAGCTATTGAAATCTACAAAACACATTTATTAGATTTTCTTCATAGACTCAGACAAAAAAGTTGAAGAAAATTCCATTGTACTAGCGACATCGAAGAAAAAATTTTCAGTGAATATGTACAGTAACCAAGTTCCACTAACATCTCCAAACAATTCAAGTCATTTAGTCCAGTTTTAAACAAGCCGTCGTTAAAGGTGTCATACTTTTTTTTAACCACTTTATATGTTTGTTTTGAAAATCATTGGAAATTTAGGATATAATCTTAAAGAGAATCGTGAACAATAGGAACATAATTGATATCTACAGCAAAAGATATATACGGCAGTATAGTATGCAGAAGTTATTTGGAAAAAGTTAAATCTTTTCGAAGTTGAAGATAGAGTTAAAAACTTTTGGTGTAAGGTGACATGAATGAGCGAAAACTATTTCGCTTCGTTCTCAATTTTTCATTTTCATTTGGATTTTATAAAATTAGCTATAATAAAAAATAAAAGGTAATGAACAAACTTTCTTACTTTTAGTTCAGCGAGATCTGTTACAAATGAATTTATTTTTCCTGACTTTAATGCATGTTCTGATAAACAGCTTAATTCGTAAATAAATATTAGTAGACGTTAAACAAAAACGCAGGAATTTATTGCGATAATTTCACATTCTTTCATCGAGCGCGTTGAATTTAAATATTGAAATTGAAAAAAACGCTTACGATACATTTTTACGAAGGAAAAGAAAAACAATACCTAGATATATCAAACTGCAGATGTATCAAACATACACACTTTAGGTATATTGAAGATCAGGTACATAAAGAATCAGGTATACCAGTGTTGAAGTATATTAAAAATCATATGTTTCATAAATCAGGTATACCAAAAATCAGGTATTCCAAAAAACAGGTATACTAAAAGACTGGTATACCAAAACACGGATACACCTATAATTCAGATATACGAATAATCCAAGTAAATAAAGGTAGAATAATTTCGTACCATTAGCATATCATTATCGCACACACTGCGCCAAAAACATCAAAAATTTCATAAAATTAAAGTATTTCATTCAATCAAATTAAAATTGCAAAGCGAAGTTATATTATATCGATTACTATTTAGATATCCTTACCTCTTACGATCCTTAATAAAATGGATTAGCGTAAGACTTAATTTTTTAAAATTAAATTTTGAACGATTCTGTCACCCACATATGGATGACGTGATAGTCAAAGTGTTAATAATGTAATTATCATACACTTTTTTGATAGTACAATTCTGATATACTTTATTAACCCTTCGTCTACTGTGCCGGAGGACCACAAATATGTATTAGCAGAGTATGAGTGTAGATCAGAAGTAACTCCGACACAGAAGGCCACGCTTCACTAATCGGAAGGTTAATAACATAAATAGAGTAAATTTTGTTAATATTATAATTATGATACATTTTTGAAGAAACTGTGCTGAATCAATTTTTATAATTCAAATAGTCGCGAAGTCGGTTAACACTAAAATGGGCCCGCCGAATTTGACGAATTTCCAATCTCGTGTACAACATAAGAAAAACCATAAATATTACCGTTCAACTGTTCATGTTGGCTTTAGTTGATGCAATGTCACGAATACATTAAACATTGCACAATTTTGCACGTCCTTCAAACACACGAATCACGGTATGGTATTCGTGAGACCGTTTTGGCTTGAATTTAACGCGTTGATTCCACATCACTGATATTTAAAGTTTTAATTATCCAAAGTTAAAAATTAATTTCTCCACTGATAGATTAAGTAAATAAATCTCGTCCGTTTTTGTTTAATTGAATAAATTACTTCGATTTTATCGAATTTTTTTGGTCACTGAGTCAGCAATCAATCTGTAGAAACATACAATATTTATGAACAACAATACGAAAGTTACTCAATTTTAATCAACGAAATTTCTGTTAATCAGAAATCTTGAAACTAAAGAGAACATTCAGATAAGCCTAATAACTACAGTGGGGAACAAAATTGAGTGAACACCCTTTAAAACGCAATAACTTTTTTAAAACTGGACTAAATGACTTGAATTTTTTGTAAATGATAGAGCGGCTTAGCCTACTAGACAATGAATAAAAAGTTTTTTTCTAATTTTGCTATTACTTGAAAAGACAAAATAAATAGAAAGCTCACGTTTCCTAACTTTTTTGTCCGAACCTATAACGAAAATTTGGAAAATACGTTTTATCGTCTAAAAAAAATTCAAGTCATTTACTCGAGTTTTAAAAAAGTTATTGCGTCTTAAAGGGTGACCACTCAATTTCGTCCTCCAATCTATTTCAATAAATATGCAATATACTTAACGTCAACCCAGCATTAATACTTAGAATAATAGAAGAAAACGATTGTTTCAAATGTAAGCGTATCTAATTGGTTGTTCTCTTATTTCAGATCTGCAGTTAGCTGCAGAACTTGGCAAGACACTGTTGGAACGGAACAAGGAACTAGAGAACATCATTAAACTACAGCAGTCCACCGTTGAGGAACAGGCACAGGAAATTGAAGTAATTAAACGATAGATATACTTGACTATATGCGTTTGAGCCGTTAACAGTAATTTTCACTCAGAGAACCAAACGTATGATCTTCTCTTTCAGTATACGAAAAAACAAACCGCCGCGCTAAGGGAAGTAAATGATTCACGACTAAAAATCTACGAACAATTGGAAGTGAGTATTCAGGATTTAGAACGAGCCAATCATCGCCTTGTCATAGAGAACACCAGCGACAAAAAACTCATCAAAAGGTAAAAAAACAATTCGTTACGGTTTTTCGAGTTTCGCTGTTTTGCGAAAAACAATTGCTTAATAACGATTATTCCTAAGCGATATCGTACAAATACAGACAGACTTCACAAATTATAAATAAATAATATGATGGATTGCGTTGTATTTTCTGCTATATTTTTTGTTGTTCTTGATTTGACTTTCCTTATTTTCCACTCCGCATTCCACACAAAAAAAATATTGAATAAAGTTAACCAAGCTAAGAAATTATCTTTGCGTATAAAATACAGTGGGTGTAGAAAAATCTGACGTTCCAAGTAATCCCACAGGTATTCTGTTGGGTTGATATCTGGAGATTGTGGGGAAGTTTGTATAATAGATATCATGTAGTATTCACATTCTGGTGTTATATGTAATATGTTTTGGATCGTTATCTTGCATGAAAATGAAATCATCTTTAATGCCTATTTTTCTCGCACTGGAAGAAAGATTTGATTTTAAAATGTCAATGTAAACTCGGTGGTTCATTATTCCATTGATAAATTGTAATGTGCAGACGGCTGCACTCATACAGCCCTAAACAATTACGGAACCTCCACCGTGTTTCACTGTAGGCCGTAAGTTTTTCAGTTTCAATTCCTCATTCTTTTTTCTCCAAATAGTACAATGCCCATCAGACCCGAAAATAGTAAATTCACTTTCGTCTGTGAAAATCACTTTATTCCAGTACTCCATTGATTTGTTGATTTTATCATTTGCGAACTGCAATCTCTTCTTTCTGTTCGATTCAGATACAAATTATTTCTAACGGGCCACTTGACCGTGATACTCTTGGCTTCGTAAAAAATTATGCACGGTACTAACAGATAAATCAATGTCTAAATTATTTTTAAGATGGTCAACTATTTTTATTGCACTTATTTTTGGAACATGCCTTATCATTCTAATAATAACTCGTCTAGTATGCTGATTAAGTTTCTGTGGACGTCCACTTCTCGAGTTATTTTGCAGTCTGTTTCTTTGTTCATATCTATTAATTATACTTTGCATAGTAGATCGAAGTCTGCTTATAATCCGCAATATTTTTGATAAACTTTTACACTGATTATGTAAATTAATAATAATTTCTCTTTCTTCTATCGTACTTTCCACACGTTTTCGTTCTATTTTTCAAAGATAATTTTGAACACGTCTGATGCCGATAAGGTTTCCAAATATACTGACGATCGTAGCCATAGTTATTTTTCTTGTTGATTTCACAAATTATGCAAATTACAAATTTTCTTTTGCACAATATCTATTCTAGAGATTTCCGAAAATATATACAGACTCATTGTTTATAAAAAAATTATTAATAAACTATGATTCCACGAAGTTTTGTTTGAAATTGATCAGTGTACGAATACTTTCTACACCCACTGTATTTTAATGAAAAAGTAACTAGTTGACTAAAGTCGTTCGTGAAAAGAAGTGATGTAATAAGTTAAATGATCGACCTTTTCTAATATCATTTGTCACGTGTTACGTTGATCGATCAAATGGACGAAACGTGCGATTAGTTTACACGATAAATTTGTTTATTTAAAACTTGCTATTGGTTCCATAGTTAAATATATAAACAGAGCTACGTAATACTCCTACATATACGTATCAAAACCTGTTTTTTTCTACTTTTGTAAATTAAAATTAAATTATAGTTAAATTAAAATTAAATTATAGTTAAATTCAAAAGTTAAATTAAAATTAAATTATAGTTAAATTCAAAAAAGTTAAATTAAAATTAAATTATAGTTAAATTCAAGTTAAATTAAAATTAAATTATAGTTAAATTCAAGTTGAATTGAATTTAAATTATAATGAAAGTAAAGTTAAATTAAAATTTAATAAAAAAATAAATTGCAATTAAGTTATTAATAGCTCACAATGAAATAAATGATCGCATTTTAAAGTAGGATTCCATGTTGCTTTAAAAAAATTCAATTTTATTTTATTATTTAGCGTCTCGAGTAATCAATTTAATTGAAGGATGTTAACGTACCCAAACGACCTTCCAAAAAATATATTAACGTTCGATTGTAGGGGACATGAAAATTTGATCCACGCAGGAAAGGTGCTAAAAGAAGCACAATGGTTGTGAGCGAAAATAATGCAAGCTCTCTCTAATTGTTCAACAGCCACTGTATAACGATCGAGACCCTAGAAGCTCGATGTGAGGAACTCCAGAAGAAGATCGACGAGTTACACGAGCAGCATGAGATTCGGCTTCGGCAACAGAGCACGAGCCAATCGAAGAACACCGCGCAAACACAGACCGCACTGTGGAAAGCATCGGGCACGCCAGGTGGCAACACACAGGAGGTAGTATTTAATATTCATAGAATTCATTTCGCGGGATCTCAGATAACTCGGCGCGATTATCGGCTACAGATTCCGTTTGCCACTGAACTTTAAACGACGACGAATCTCGGTTTCATCGGGAAGAAAAACCGGCAATCTCGCCGCGGAGTTTCTATTCTGTTCAGTTTAACGACTTCCTAACAATCTCCTTTCGCGCTAGCAAGATGTATTGTCATTTATTAACTCATTAGAAGCATTTCCATCCTTAGAAAATGCTGTTTCATGCTGCAGTACCGTCATCGCTGTTAGATAATGTATAAGATTACTATTGTACTACCTAACAAGGCGGACAAGGCGGTTTACAGCCAAATAAATTATTAACCATATTACGTAGCGATACTAGATTGGTCATCATTAGATCACAAGCCAAAATTCTTGCGTTTACGAGCCTAATTTATCGATTCACGGCACTGAATTTTTCTTCCAATTAATCCGAGTTCTTCGAAATATAACTCTGGTATATACATATTATTAATTGAGACACGTTTCGAATTAATGCAGTTAATTGGAAAATATTTTGAGCTATTATAATTAATTGAAAAAGATTTTGAAGTAAAACAGCTAATTGGAAAATATCTAGAACTAACTATAAAGTTAATTGGAAAATATCTTGAATAACTAATATAGTTAATTGGAAAATATTTTGAACATTCTTTTTCATAAGAGGAAAAAAAAGAAAAGTAAAACGATGTAGATCGTGGCTTAATACGAAGTTACTTAGGTAGTGCATTTCTTTGATGAAAAAATGTAAAAATGAAGCACATACCTAGATTCACGAGCAGATTGCGATTGGAGATAGTCAACTTTCTATTTCATAAGATGCTAATCGTTTGAACGTGTGTACACATGTATTCTGAAAAATGATCAACACCTGTTGAGATCAGTGCACCAGTAACTACAATAGAATCAATGCGTTATGAATGAATTCTTAGTCTCCCTTTTATTTCCGCGCAATTCTTATGCATAATGCTTTACGTTAATCTGGAAAGCATGTTACATTATAGATTGCAGATCATTTCTGCATTAAAACAAGCAAGTTGCGTTTTACCTCGTTTTATAATATTTTATAATCATTTACACAAATTGAGGACCCATTGCTGTTATCTTGAAACGAGTCAGAAGCTTTAATTTAGAACATATACTCGAATAAATTTCCAATATCCAAATTATTATATTTAACATGTATAAACCTCGATTCATTTCAGAGGCAAAATCTATGCAATATCAGAAATGTAGAATTTATACAATGTAAGAAACGAGCTGTTAAATTGTAGGTATTAATTGTAATTTCACCTCTCCCATATATTTCATCCCAATTTACGGTAATAATTATAGTATTCATATTTCGTAATTCTGCACAATCTAATTCAATTAGATTTATCAAATTAATGCAACAAATAACCGTCGCATTTATTATCCACCCGAAAAATTTATTTAAGAGTTCCCGTTCAATGAAATTAAAATCATCTTCTATAATTCGCAAAAGATAACACGTTCATTAAATCTTCACAGTAATTTCCACATCAGGGATACCATTATTCAAATTCGCATCCTAATTGAAGACAGATGCTAGCGTCGAAGAAAAAAGATTGCAGTCGAAGGGAATTTTTTGAGACCAATTTTTTGTTATTAAACTATTAATTTTGTCAAGTTATTGTAACAAATCGCCCACAAGGATTTATAAAGTCAATTAAAATTTGTATACAAATACTAAATAATTTGTTTAAAGCTAGTTCAGAAAATTACAAATATAGCCACTGTTCCCCACGATTATGAAAGTATAGGAATTGGCATTTCTAAGGTGTTTGGGATGTAAGGATGAAGAGAGAATGTGTTCGATCGACCGGGATAGCTTAACCCTGGAACGGTCTTGTGGGGTGTTTGACGTTTCTTTATTTTTTAGCGAACTGTTAAGCGATGTCATCTAGCTGCCAATAGCTACATTAGCTTTCAATTGAGTTTATTATTAGGTCTACCGGAAAGTTCTGTCCCCGTTTTTGAATTGAAATATATAACACACAATTTTCATACATTTAATAATATTTATTGTAGAATATACTTTCCATCGTTACTTATGACTTCTTGCCAGCGTGATGGCAACTTGTAAATGCCATTTTTAAAAAGTGATTTATTTTTAAAGGCGAAGAACTCAACTAGTGCTTGGTTGACATCAGCTTCAGTTTTGAATTTTTTTTCCTGTAAAAAGTTTTGCAAAGAGAGAAACAAGTGATAATCGGAGGGTGCTAGGTCTAGGGAGTATGGTGGATGTGACAGAATTTCCCAGTCTAGCTCTGCGATTTTCTGACGAGTCGCCAAAGCAGCATATAGTCTGGCATTATCATCGGTAGCCATGTTTTCACGATCGCGTCTCACTTAATAATGACATGAGACATCTTTGTTTCAGTTCATTTAGGAGAGTACATGTGTGTAAATGCAATGATAAAAAGAGATAGTCATATATGTCTCAAATCAACATGTGCATATGGATTGAAACTTGAAGTGACACTGTCAGACAGAACTTTCCGGTAGACCTGATATTTTTACAGGTCTCTTGGGGGTGTCGGCATACCACGCGACCTTTATGTAACATTTTAATTGTAGAAGAAGTTACACGAATTGTTTACACGTTCAACCCAGATGATTTTATTTAGTTAATTATCAAACGAAGAGTTGGCAAAACTAATTTTGAAGCTAAAAAATAAAATACCCCTGTTAGATACAAATAGTATAACGACTCTTTCGCACTGAGCGATGACTGGTATAAAATGGATTTGGCAAGCTAGAAAACTAGCTCGAAGAAAAATTGACGGCAGTTGAGCTAGACTGAATTGTTAAAATCTTTCCAGAATGCTACCGCACCTGAAGAAGAAATGACCGAATTACTGAGACAGTTGCAAGAAGCGCGGAATCAAAGGGCGAGGGAGCAAAAGAAAGCTGCGGACCTCAGCCAGCAGCTTGCAACCTTGCTCCAGGAGAACACTGCTTTGGAAGAGCAAATAAATATTTTGCGCAGTAAAGCGCAAGACGTGAAAAACCTGCAGGAAGAAATAAATGCGCTCGAAGAAGTGAGGTACGGTGCACGAAAGCTTTCTTTGCAGTTCTTTCAAACTGTCAACAAAATAATTTTCAATTGATGTTATATCAGAACAAAGGCGGATCATTTCTTGTCGGTATTTTTTTACATGCTTAACAATTTTTGCTAATTCTATAGAGTATGTTGTTTGCAATTAATCTTCTAATTTTGTGATCAACTGATTTTAATCTGCGAACACATAAAGCTACAAGCAAACTCCTCTGTGAAGCTACAAGTCGTTTGCAAATAATTGTCTCATTTTTTAAAATAATATAGCTGCTTGAAAAGTCAGGTGGGAAAATTATTAAACTTTTTAGAAACATTATTTTTAAAAAACGACATTGCTTTCCTGTATCCCTAATACTTGATGCATTTGATTTTGTTATAAATGCAAGAAATCTGCAGTCTAGTTACAAGATTCTGCACTCAACGCTATAAACAATAATAATATTCATTGATTTTTCTCATCATCATGAAATTCGATTGAAATAGAAGCGGCGTGCATCTGTTACTTCTCTAGTACTCAGAAATAAATATGATTGCTTGCAGGCGAGGGCATTTATGTGGACGATGCCTGCGGGGAATGGAAACAAAAACACACGACGAAATTTCTGTAATGTTGGATCAAGAAGAATTAGACGTCATCAATATGGCAGAATCAATAATAAGCGATAGTCAACGCGATACCGAGTCATTAACGCAGGTAAACTTTTCCATCTGTATTTACAAAGGTTGTCTCACCGATTCATCCTCGCTTGCTAACCTTTTCATTCATCTCATTGATTTTCTGCTGCTGAAGCTATTTTTGGCACCTTTTCATGGTATACACTCTGCGACTAGCCGAGAGTTTCTAGTAGATAGGTAAAACTTGCAAATATTCTCTTGCATATCAAGACCTAATGTCTTTCTTTTTATTAAAATCGATTAGTTGAAAGATATGAACATTTTTCTAAAGTTGTTTCGTTTTACAACAAATTTGCGTTTCGTTAGAGTGTTAAAAATGCACTTGCTTCAATATTTTGCCAATAAAAACAGATCTTCTAGCATAAAATTTCAAAGCTACCAAAAAATGTCAAAAAGTTTCTTATCTTTTTACTCTAAACGTCAAAAAATCAGCTTCCGTTTTCTCGTGAAAAAAAACGAAACAATTTTCTGAACGGCTAAATAATGAAAAATATGATACAAAATGTATAATTGCAGTAAATTACTTAACAAGCCTGCGTTTGTTTTAACACTGATGAATACCGCGAAGACAATAATCGGGAACTAGTAAACAATAGAACGGAATGCTTATCTGATGTATTTGCAAGTTTCACTCATCCTACAATCTTCCTGTAATTGGTCTATAATTAGATGTCCTATAATTAATTACCGCCACATAGATAGAATCATTCACATCAATTTAGTATCTTCTTTTGAATATTCTTGCCTTTGTTAAAGTAAACAGTACTTAATATAATTGTTCTCTTCAGGTTAGCTTCAGTATAAACATTTTATACGCATATGTAAATTCTTGATAATTATTGAAAAAGTAGCACATCTTAGCGATTTTAATGTCTTTAAAAGATATATTACATATACATATTAATATGTGTAACTCATTTTAAAGAAAAATGGGCTTACAGTGATTGTCTTGCGATTGAAGAAAAATTGTGAAAATCAAGAGAAAAAGTAATTCTCGATAATACAATGATATTAATTAAGTTTGTATTAGAGCTAGATTGACTCTACATTAGGTATAAATATGACATCTCTAAAGAATATTACATGATCTTATTCATGTTACCTAAAATTTCCTTTCACTTTATTGAAAAGTCCATGGAATCACCATATATGCAGTATATAAGATCTACTATATTATAGAAAATCGTGATGTGTACGCAGATTCATATTTAATTAGAAGAGAAATAGATATGCTTGACATAGATTATGTTCTTACTGAAAATTAGCTGAAAATTAATATTGCAACCACGTACTGTGAACAATTGAACAAAATCTAATCTAAACTTTCAAAGTAAACAACATCTAATAGTTAAAACATTGTTACTTATATTTCATAAACTAAACACTTGTGGCAGTTATACATGTGTATACGAAAGCAAAGTTACTTGAAACATCGACCCTGACGACACATCTGAAGATCGTCGCTTAATAAACGATTATTTATTTAAATATATATACGTCTCAATCCGCTTGAGATCACAAGCCAACAGAGTAAATATTATGTTGAAGCTAAGAAGACAACAATTACTTTGAACTCAATTTCAAGTAAATATTACACAAAAATCATTTAATGTTTCGTGTGTCAAATTTGATTTAGATTCATAATTTTGTTAGGTTCGTTCTATGCATGTATTCAGCATGTTCAGAATTGATTTAAAAACAAAATAAGCTTACAGTATGACCCCAGCTGGGGATATAGAATGTTAATAAACCAGGGAGTTAGTTTGAATTTTCTGATATTAAAAGGCATGCCAACTTTTCTAAAAACTATATTTATACTAACCGACATTTTTCAAGCTTGTGGCAAATTAGTGAATCAAAATCTTTATTAATTGACCCATTCAATGAACAGTTTCACCCAGTATGCATATATGTCTTTAATATATGAGCCGTTTATTTTAAAAGTGGTATAAGTCACTTTACCGTAATGAAAAGTGGTGATTTTTTAATGTTTATATGAAATTATTTATACTGAGAAAAATATCAGTATCCTGAGATAACAAATACAAGTAAATCTTCTCGAAAGTTAGCATCCATATTTTTAAACGTGTTAAAACGCAAACCCTTAAATATATCGACTTAAAAACAAAGTGACTTATGCCACTTTTAAAATAAACGGCTCACATACTGACAAAAGATTGATCTAATCTTATTCATTCGCGAGATAAAGAATTAAAAAAACAAATAAAACTTGATCTAGTAATTACGACACTAACAAAAGCAAGAGCTATACATTTTCGGATTTGAATGTAAAAATCGAATGTCAATCACGTACAAATCGTATAAAACAGACTTTTTCTTCCTCGTACAATGATATGCTTCGAATGTTTCGTGAATGATACTTCTAAGGGCTTATGCTTTGATATAAGAACAACTATGAAAGTAATTTAATTTTATTTGCTTTAGGAGAGACTCGCAACAAAGATTAAGAAAACCAAGGCAAAACGAGAAAAAAAAGAATTTCGTTCCTCATTATGGACAACTTTCGCGTATATTTGGAGAGCACCGTCGTTAATTTTTGTTTTCTTTCATACGATATGGTACATACAAAACGAATGCATCATACCGTTGATGTTAAAACCTTTTCGGATACCGATCTTCATTGTCAGAAAGATCCTGACGATAAAAGATCGCTTGAAACTGCTTTAGAATATTTCATGCATTTCATTTGTAATTAACTAAAATCGAGAATGGACAAAGCTCCTCTCGCCGATTATTTAGTTGGCGAGAGGAATCACTCAATGCATAATTACCATGCAACTCGAATTGTGTATAATAGATATCGAAATACTCATTTCAAAAGTTCCATATTAGCTTAGGTTTAATTTGAATGTAATAATTTCGTTGATTGTTTTCTCTGCTTAAGCAATGTATTAAGCCTGAAATATTTCGGTATCTCATCGACGTAGTTTCATGCTATAATCGGTTTGTAGCTTTTCTGCAAAGACGTTTTAAAACTTGATCTTCTAGATCCACGAAATCAGTTTAAGAACATGTTGAAATAATAACGGTATTGATGATAGACACGTTAAACAAATTTTAATAGGATTGACTAAGGCACGGTGTAGGTAAAATATTAGGTTGGGGAATAAGTTCATAGCGTTTTTATCAAAGACGATTTTCTTTGTTGCTTTCGTTAAGCTCGCGAGGCACCCAGGCTCCCAATTTTTTGGCAAATCTCATTGAATAAAGATGATGGAGAATCGTTTTATGATCGCAGTTCATTTTTTCGGCCAATTCACGACTTGTTTGGTGACCGTCCTCCTTCAAAAGTGCTTTGAGACGTTCTTCGTCGAATTCAGAAGGTTTTCCGCCGCGGGGCGTGTCGTCGATGTTAAAATCGCAATTTTTGAACTTCACAAACCATTTCCGTGCTGTAGACTCGAGTATGACACCTTCTCCGTATACGTTGCAAATGTCCCGGGCTGCTCGATGAAAAGCGAAGAAGAGAAGGTGTCGAAAATGTTGCTTTTTACCTCTTGGATATTCCATTTCTAAGCCTCAAGAGTAATAAAAAATTAAATTACTCAAAAAGACGATTAGCACAGCTTCGTAGAGCAGAAAGAGCTCTATCGAATGAATATTATACACTTTGTGAAACAACAAAAAATAGTTGAAAAATAAAAGAGAATATAAAAACGCTACGAACTTATTCCCCAATCTAATAGAATGAATCTAACAGCTGAGCACTTACATTATTAAAAGCTGTTGTTGAATTTAGTTTGCGTATGTTAATAAGAATAGTGTTAAATTCTCTCAGAGGAAATGATTCCTACGAATAAAATCAGCGTACGTTGTTTATAATCGAGTATGTAAGTATTTAATCGATATTGGTAGAATTTTCACAATTTGTAAGAACGTTGTTTTTTATACATTCGCGAGAAAAAAGATTATTTTCCAAAGATGTAATAAGACTGGTTTGAATTAACGATCTAGAAAGTAATTATATCTCTTTAGAGTTAGTCTTGTTTAATTGCAAATATCTATTACGTTGTTTACTCGGCTCGTAATTTAATCACATATTGTTAGCGTATCTAGTCCAAAACATTTGTAAAAACTATGTTGTAAGGTGTAAGTGCCAGATTTATATGATTTTAAATAAAGCATATTTTTTCAATAAACATTGTTGATTTCTCTTATTT